TATTTGCTTATATATTGTTTATTATTATTTGCTTGTATATTGTTTGTTATTTACTGTAACTTATTATTATATATTGTTAGTTATTATTCACTTGTATAATGTTTGTTATTTATTTACATATTATTATTTATTGTTTGTTATTATTTTCTTATATAATGTTTGCTATTTACGGATTATTATATAGTGTTTGCTATTATTCACTTATATATTGTTTATTATTATTTACTTATATAATGTTATTTATTTACATATTATTATATATTGTTTGTTATTATTTGCTTATATATAATGTTTATTTACTAATATAATGTGTGTATTAATGTGTCTGTGAAGAGTCGGGGCGTGGCTCCGGTCATCGCCGGATTCGGACCACCTTCACTGTAACTCAACTGCAGGAGCTGGAGAGAGTTTTTCAGGACACACACTATCCAGACGTCCAGACCCGAGACCTTCTCGCCTGCCGCACACAGCTCACTGAAGCACGAGTGCAGGTACACTAACACACTTTAACACATTCTAACACACACGAATACACACACACACAGACGCACACACACAGTAACATACACTAACACTCAAACACCTAAACACTGAAACATATAATATAATAAAAAATATAATATAATAATTAGGTTGACATGTAACTCAACCAACTGTATTTATTATTATCAATACATTTATTTGTTTGTTTATTTATTTATTTATTTATTTATTTATTTATTTATTCTATTTTTTTTTTTCTTAGATCTGGTTCCAGAACCGCAGAGCGAAGTGGAGACGCAGTGAAGCTAAAGCCACTCACAGACCTTTAACAATGACGACAGACCAGAAACACACTCCACACACACACACTGCTCCACTCTGTCTGCCGGTAAACATTAATCATCCTTAAATAATATGTTACATATTTAAATATTAATGTTAATAATTAATGTTATTGTCATGGTGAGATAAGCTATAAAAAAAATCATGTATCGTAAAATAATATAGTAATAATAACATGTAAAATGATGACATATACATACATACATATATACACTTTGATTGGCCGCATGTAATGCTCTGCATAATACTCAATATTTAGTGGGCAATTACTATTAATAACATTATTATTTTGAACATTAAGTTATTATTATATAGTACATAGTGGGTATAAAGTAATATTAGAATAGAATAGAATAGAATAGAATAGAATAGAATAGAATAGAATAGAATAGAATAGAATAGAATAACAGGCTTATTACATAACATGCACTTAAACAAACATGATTTATTTAAAATAAATTGAAATAAATCACATTATGTATTCCTTAATATCATGTTTTTTTATTTCTTTTAATTATTTTTACAATTGTCTTAATTCAGGGACGATTATTGTAATATTAATCACTAAATTTATGTAATTTGCATATTCAAATACTATTGCAAGTGACTGACATTTCTCCTGTTTGTGGATTGCAGTATTTGGGTTTTGCACAGAAGCTCTGGCTGCCGAACTCCATCTGTCCAGCCTTCAGTTCTCCTTCATTAACAGCAGCACAACATTCACATTTCTGACCGCTCAAAAACAGACACTTTCAGGCACAGTCTTGGGAAGATACGTATTTCTGCATCTCTGCTGTGCTTCTGCATCATAACATGTGTAAATAAGCATGCCTCTATAATGCATTTTGTATATAAAAACTCCTTTATTTTTTATTTTAAAAACAAAATCACAGTTGTAAACTAATTTCCTTTATGCTTCCAGTGTCAGGTTTACGTAAATTATACAATAGTATTTGGATGCAGCCTTTATGATGCAAGCTGAGATTGCATCACTCAGCGATGCAATGTCAGACACAATGCACTCAATGGAGTGAGTGATGTCACTGTGACGGGTAGGGTTATTGGTGGGGTTAGGTGAGCTCATTAAAAAGCATTGGATGCAGCTCAGATTGCACTGCACCAGGTCTGCATCCAGACCCCTCTCAAATTATACTGCAACTGTATGCAGTAGCTGCTCTATAAAAATTCAACCCATTTTTTTTTTTTGTAAATTATGGACAAAACAAACTTTTCTATTATTTATGTGCCTAAATATAACCCAACATTTAGGTTAGTTCATATTTGACCCAATTTGAGTTAAAATAATCTAGAATGTCCTTTAGACTAAATTATGCACAAAAAATGAAAGCATGGGATTACTATTTATATTTATGTAACAATTACTTACAATGTACTCGCTTAATACTGCACAAAAATGCTGGGTTCTTTTAACCCAATGCTGGGTCAAATGTTAAAAAAATTTAATTTAAATGTCATTTTAAAAAATAAACCCAACATTTTTTTCCCCATTTTTGACATGTTGGGTTAAAACAACCCAGAAATTCAATCTTCTTTATAAATCAATTCAGAGAAGCATATCAATCATAATTTTTGTTGTTAAAACTATTATATTTTGCATAATAATTATATTATTCTTTATAACTAAAGAAGTTTAACAAGATGATTAAATGTGCTTAAGAAACAATGAATTCAAATAGAAATTAATTAAATTAATGTGTCATTGTTTTGAATTGTTTCATAATTGTAACTTTTGTCATTATATTTGCTAACTAAAGTGTTTATGTTTGATATTAAAACACTTATTTTTTAATAAAGAAAAAAGACCTTATTTTGATTTCTACTATCTGTTCACTGAGATTTATAGGGATTTTCAGAAGCATTGAGTCAAGTAACTAAATTACTTAATGATTGAATACTTTTCAGATGTAGTAATTAATATAAAAGTAAATTAAATACAGTTTTAATGATGTAATTAACGTGATTACTTATTTGGAGTAACTCACCACTTCACAATAAAACCCATTTGGCCTATAACATCTGTCAAAGGGACCACTAATGAAAGCTAGTTTTGGGCTAATGGCACTCACCAAAGAATTTTTGAAATCTCCAAAAGCATACACAGCGGCCTCTTGTGGATTCCTGAAAACAAAAACTACAAAAAAACAGCTCCTGGGACCTAATTGATGCTCTCCAGAAACTTATATAAATGTATATATTTCAGAATGAGCATGGGTCGGCTAATTTGGGTACATTTGCATCCTTAGGGAATGTTAATTAATGTCAAAGACTATAAAATACACAAGACATGGCACTCGTATCTTTTTGAATCAGGAAAAGTGTAACTGTCAATATGGTGAATAAAGCCCCGCCTACTAGTACAGGAGCCAATCATCAGTTCCTATATGGTGCAAAAAGCCTGCCTTCTAGTACAGGAGCCAATCATCGATTGCTATAGACTGACAATACTCTGAGAGAGGGACTTGGACCAGACGTGATTTTCTGCAGATTTTGTGTGATTTGGACGATTGCAAATGGAAGTAAAGAGACAGTTGTTGTTTAATTTTATTGATGATTCCTAATGTAAAATTCAATCGCAAGTCTGGCTAACATTTTTGGAGAATTTGATGTTTCCCCATTCAGACAGAATGCCCGAGAGGATTTTCAAAGATGGCCACCAAGTGAAATTACTTGCCTTAAAGGGACTTTGTTATTGTGCACTGTCCCTTGTTGTCAAAAATAAATACATTTTAATTGTCAAAGAAATAAAAAGTGCAATTAAAAGTTTTTTTTAAAGGTTAAGGTTAGGTTGTTTTAATTAGGCAAATCATTGAACAACAGTTGTTTGTTCTGTAGCCAATAGAAAAAATATATTTCGTAAGGGGGCTAATGATATTGACCATAGCAGACCTTCTTTTTTCCCAGCCAATTCCAGCCAAGCTAAAAGAAATAATATACTAGGAAATACTATGAAAATTCTCCTTGCTTTGTTAAGCAGCACATGGGAAATGTTTTAAAATAATAACTAATTCAACAGGAGGGCTAATAATTCAGCATTTAACTATATCTAAGTGTTGATCACAAGTGTTGTATTAAGCTTTGTGATTTTAAAGAGATAATCAGTGAATAGATATGGAGCCATAAATGGATTCTGTTGTCGAAATGTCTAATTATCACTGAATTGGTTTATTGGCTCTTAAGTCATAAAGCGGTGTCTTATCTTAATTTGACTGAGTTCGCAGGCGGGTCAGGATGGGTTGACAGGGCAAACGCAAGATCCACTGCATGTTCAATGCTGAAGGAAAACACTGATGACTGATAACAGAACACTAGATGACCAGAAAACGAACCCTAACCTTTAGTTATCTCAGGCCGACAGGGCTGATTCGTTAAATGAAGTGAACACGTTTTCCAGGCTGGAGGACAGAATTATCAAGACCTTTTCAACTGGAGGTTTCAAACTAATATAATTTATTTTCTACACCATAAAAATATGCTGGGCTGTTTTAACCCAATGTTGGGTCTAATATAGGTGATTAAAAAGTGTACTATGAAGTTTCCATGAAATCTAAAGGTGTTAGCATCAGTCTTAAAAGGGGATCTACAGTATTATGCAATCATCTCGTTTATAAGGTGTTTAGATACAGTTGTGTGGCAAGAGTCTGTAAATATTACCAGCTTATAATGGTAAAAATGCATTGAGTTAATTTTGTTATAGTCACACTTCATAAAAACAGTCTGCAGAAAAACTTTGACAATCTCTGTTTGTACGTGTCATCAGAGGTGGATTGCGTCAGCATAAGAAGTTAGGGTGTACTCACACTATGCTATCTGAACCGTGCTCAGGCGTGTTTCCCGGTTCGTTTGAGAAGTGTGAGTACTCTAAATCGGGCTCAGGCGCGGTTCAGTTGGCTGGCCCTGGCCCCCAAATGGAAGAGGTGGGAAGCCCGAAACTGAAGACGAGACGTGACTTTTAAGGGACTGTTTCATATGAATTTATTAATCATTCTTATATAGGGTGCTTTCACACCTACACTTTTGTTTCAGAACGTATCTCGTTTGCCCAGTTAGCGCGGTTCGTTTGGTATATGTGAACAGGGCAATCGCGCTTTGTTCCGCGCCAAAGTAATCGCTCCGAGATTGATTGAATGAGATGGGCTCCCCTGGAGCGGTTCGATTGCAGTGAGAAAGCGATCCAATCCGAGCGCGGTTACATCACAGTGTTTTATGGATATGTAAAGGCTTACAGCTATCTAAAGAGAGAATTATGAGTATGGTGGAAAGTTTTGCGAGTCTCCGGATGCCCGCAAATGAGTGATGAACTCCCGGTAATCTCGCTTCTCCCTCCCGGTCCTCAAATAGTTCATCGTCGCGCACCCTTTTCACCCCTCCCCACCGCATCTCTTCTCAGACACGTCGCGCGCACCCTGTCAATCACCACCAAACCACCACCTCTCCTGACAGTTTAGCGGGACGCTGCAAAATAAACCCTGACACTCTGACCAATGTGAGGAGAGTTTACTCGCATGTGACTTGTTTTAGCTCTTTTGGTCCGATTAGAAACTTTGTGAGTACTCTAAATCGCGAACCGCTCCAAGAGCAAAGAGCAACAATGTAACAATTGTAATCTCTGTTTCGGAACAACTGAATTGATCACATGTGTGAAAGCACCTTTACTGTTCAATGAATACAAACTGCCGTAGTTTATTAAAGATGCAAACCCCTCACTGCACGACAGCTGCACCTTTAGCAAACTTCCTAATATCTGCAGCACGAGGACTTTATGAGCGTCAAAAATGTCTGATCTGTTCAGCAAATTATTTGATTATGTAACTGTATAATCTCCATTGTGCTCAGCGAGAGCGCTTTCTCTTCTGTTAAACTGACCAGCGCATCATCGATGATGTAAGCGTGCTCCTGCTCGGATGCAATGTGAGTGCTGGCCGCTGGGGCAGAGGGGATGGGGGACAAGCATTCTTCGGCACGGTTCAAAGCAACTATACATAGTGTGAGTACGCCCTTAGTCTTGTTTTTGAATCTGCCACTATGCTGACACACAGACATTTGTAGCTCCGCCCTCTTTAAAAAAAAGAGCATAATCTCATCTGAATTTAAAGTGGCAGCCACCAAAATTCCACAATTAGTATTAAAGCCTAAAAGGTGCTGTTTCAAACAGTTATAAAACATTATTTGTGTGGTATTTTGAGCTGGAACTTCACTACACACACTACCGTGAAGACACACAATGTCATAAGATGTTAATAATACACACTCATAAATAAAGGTGCAAGCTGTCACTGGAGTGGTACATTTTCAAAAGGTACAAATTTGTACCTAAAATGTCCATATTAATACCTCAAGAGTACATATTAGTATCTAAAAATTTAAAGAGGAACACTTTTGTACTTTTTAGGTACTGATTTGTTTCCTTGAGGTATTAATATGGACCTTTTGGGTACAAACTGTACCTTTTGAAAAGTTACCACCCCAGTGACAGCTCATGTACCTTTATTTCTGAGAGTGTATGTTAGATTTAGGTCGCCAGCTTCTAAGGACAATGTTTTTTTGCCGTCCAATAATGACGTGAAGTGACGTTGATTTTTTGTTGCTTTTAGGTTGTGTTGGAAAGTGACCAAAATCCAGCTTTGATCCATCATCTTAAACCAACATCATACACTCTCAGAAATAAAGGTACAGGAGCTGTTTTTACCTAAAGGGTCCATAATGGTACCTCAAAGGTACTTTTTAGGTACATTTGGGTGCTAATATGCAGCTTTAGGTACCACTGTGGACTATTTGGGTACAAATATGTATCCTTTAAAAAGCAACTACCCCAATGACAGCTCCTGTACCTTTATTTCTGAGAGTGTATTGACGTCAAATACGGACATTTATTCATTGGGTATGGCAACCAAAATTCAACATCTGATAGATGTCAAAGTGGTAACGTGCTCACAATGTTGCCCCTGCTGAAAAATACAGCTTATACCAGCTGGTTGGCTGGTCTTAG